CTGCTCTAAGTCAAGCTTTGTTTAGAACAGAGGACGGGGCTTGGAGCAACCTGGTCTAGTGGAAGGTGTCCCTGCCCATGGCAGGAGGTGGAATCAGATGGGCTTTAAGGTGCTTTCCAACCCAAACCAGTCAGGGGTTTGAAATAAAGGTGCAGTCAATCATTTTGTGTCACGGGCCATTGTTTTCAGGCAGCTCTGAACCTCTTCCTTGTCTCCTCCTCTGTTCACACGGAGATCCTCTATTGGCAGTATTTTGTAAATAACCCCTGTAAAGCAAAGGCAGCTCTTTTTCCCCCCCCTCTGGTTGAAGTTGAGGATCTGTTGTCAAAGGGAAGATTCAATCAGTAAGCTGTGACAGAGGCTCTGCCCCTCTCGAGGTCGGTGAGTCTGTGCTGCAGCCGGGGGTTGTTTGCAGGCTGCGCCTCACGAGGGGGAGTCCAAGGAGACATCAGGATGATGCTGGCCTCTTACACATGTATGTGGGATTAGACTCAATACTGTTTGCTTGCAAGTGCAGCAAGGGACATAATTCTGGGGGAAAATGAATGATCTCGTTATCAGTGTTTAATCAGCAGTTCCAGGTAGAAGAAGAGGTGATAGTGCTTTTTGGTAGATGGTGTTCCCATGGCTTTTGGAGACCAGACCCCACGGTTCTGGAATGCTGCTCGAGGAGTTCCAGGATGTGGAAGGTGCTCTAGCATCCCTTCTACTGCTGTTCTCACAGAGCTGGCTTCCTTGCCCTGTGCTAAAACAGCATCTTCTGCAGCACTTCCACGTCTGGGGGATCTGAAAGGCGGGGCAGGTCCCTCCAGGCTGGGACCAACCCTCACAGCACAGCCCTGTGTGTAGCAGGAGCACGACTTACACTGTGTTTTGAGTCAGCAGGGTTTGTTTAGCTGGGGTTGTCAGAGATCTGAGCTGGCTGCAGTGATCTGTGAGCTGGCTGCAGTGATCTGTGAGCTGGCTGCAGTGCCAGGGGGTGTTGGTGCTGTGTCTGAGGGGGATGAAGCCGGGTCATCCACAGCTCATGGTCCTGGAGCAGCTGGGCTGACTCAGCTTGGAACAATCCTGAAACTTCACCCTTAGGCCAAGATTCTTATCTCTGCTGAAGCACCTTGGCTCAACTTAAGCTCTAGAAAAACTGTAAATAAAGTTCTGTCGTAACTGTAATTGCTGGTTGCTGCACATCTGTACTTGTGACGAGCAGAGAGGCACATCTGGAATGGGCTGGGAAGAGGAAGGGCAATATTCATACTGTCATAGAATTGGAATGTTAAGGGGTTGGAATGGACCTTAAAGAAAACTGGAGCATTACTTACATTTCCTGGGTCACGTGTGTTCTGCCTCTTCGTGGTTTCTGGATGCCTGCTGGGGAAAAGCTGCTCTTGGGAAGTGTGTGGAGGGCACAGTGTAGGACTGAGATGTGGAGCTGTGTTGTGTGTGTGGTTTCGGGGGGCCAAGCCTGGTCCTGAAGCTGGAGAAGAAGGAGGTGGGGGACCTCCTGTTTTGGGGAGCTGCTGATCAGTTTTGTGTTCAGAGCCAAGTGCCTTCTCCCTGTCCACGTTATTCCTGCTCACCTGTGTATAGGTGGTTTGTTGCCTCAAGTGATGACCCAGCCTGTTGGTGAATTTGCCACTGTTTTCTTCTCAGCTTCTGGAAGAAGCAGAGGAAGTCTCATGGAAGCATTTGAAGCCAGTCTATCCAGCCTGTGTGGTTTTTGGGAGCGTGTGCTCTCAGGTGCCCCCTGGCAGAAGGAGGCTCAGATAAACAGGCATTAAGTGGTTCCTTGTGCTCCTATTCCAGAGGTATATTTTTTTTGGTTTTTCATGCAGTGCCCTCCACTGGATGCTCTCCCGAGCCCTTCCTTTGCCCTGTGCCTGGGGAAGGCCTCCATGGGAAGTGCCAAAGCTGTCTCTATGTGCCACTGCTCGTTGTCTGCCAGGGAGCCCCCATAGCCGATCCCGGGAGGCAGCGGGATGGGCGCCGTGCTCCCATGGCAGCAGTTCTGTGACTCCTGGAGCTGCCCCCGTAAAACAGGGGGTGTGACCCTTCTGCCCAAGCCCCTTGGTTCTGAGGTTCCTCCTGAGAGCCTTGTGCTGCTCTGAGCACACCCATGCCCATCCCGTCCCGTCTGGTGGCCGTGACCCAGTCCTTGCCTGAGGAGCCTGCGGGGAATGTGCCTCTGGAATGATGCTCGGGGTGGACTCTCTGTTCTTCTGTGCAGGCCAGAGGTGATTGCCCTGGTCCTGGAAGGCACTGGAGTAGAAGTTAAACAAACTCTGGTTTGTTGTTCTTTTTAATCTTTTTTTTTTTTTTTTTTTAATGAGATAATCTGCTTGGAAAACCCTCTGGACCTGCAGATATCTGAGGCACTGGGTTAGACAGCATTTTGCTTCTCCTGATTTGAGAAGTGTTTTCACTGAGATAGTGGCAAAATGATGAGTTGCCATAAGAATTGCTGCAGGTGGGGCCCGATGGTCTTTTTGGAAATGCTTCATTGGTCTGCATTGAGATCAGAGCAAGGGCTGACTGAAAATTAGGGTTTGAGGGGGAGATGGGTTGGGCCATGAGTGCTGTCCATGTCCTGGAAAGAATCCCAGAACCACAGAGTGGTTGGGTTGGAAGGGATCTTAAAGTTCATCCAGTCCCACCCCCTCCCACCCCTCCAACTACAGCTGGTTGCTCCGAGCCCTGTCCAGCCTGGCTTTGGACACTTCCAGGGATGGGGCAGAAGTAGGAACAGGTACACTGGTGGTGCTGTCAAACGGATTTGGTGCTACTGTTTCAGTCCAGTTTCCTTGGGAAATGCATCTGCATCTTCCCACTGTTCACACTCACATTTTCCTCCTTGTGCTGTGAAAATGAGGAGGCAAATCTGGTAACACCGTTCCAAATCCTTCTTGTCTGCAGCTGAGGTTGCTTCTGCTCTCCCAGTACCTGCTGGTCTGATTGGAAATAAATCATGGTAATCTCTTGGTAACGCCTGGTCTGAGCTGACCCGACTGCTCAACAGGACGTGCAGGGTAATGCAACTGGAAGATCTTGAATGTTTGGGGTGGCAGAGACTTGCAGGGATGAGAAATGACATTTAAGTGATTTTTCTCTTGAATTTGACTCATAACACGAAGGCACGTTCCAGGTCCCGGAGAATGCAAGATGGAGCTTGGAGAGTGTAATGCTGAGACACTTGGGCTGGAGAGAAACAGCCAATTAGAGAGGTTTTTTAATGAAGTACAGCAAGGAAGGCCTTGTGTTCAACAGCATCTGCCAGGGCATTATTCTGCACATCAGGGAAGGAACCTTAGGAAGCCCATCCTTAGCAATGTGGTGATATTTAAGTCTTAGACCTGGTTTTGGTGCCTTCTTGGAAAGGAGCACAGAGATCTGGCTGTGAGGAGAGCTCCTCCACGAGTAGATGGCACTGCCTGGAATGCAAGGGCACAGCTCAACTCTGGGCAGCTGCTCATTGTGCAAGGCAGGAGGAGTTCCCATCCCGGTGATCCCAGCGCTGCTGGAGGGCACCACTCCTTGGGATGTGCTGCCGGAGCAGTTTGGGGTGAGCAGAGTCAGCTGGATCCCTGGGGATGGGTTAAGGAGCTGGGTGCTGCCAGGGGTGACCTCATCCCTGTGCTGGGATGGGGAGCACTGGCTGTACACTGGTGGTGCTGGGTGATGCCTGCTCAGGGCAGGAGGAGCTCCTCCAGGTGCTGCCTGTATCCAGGAGAGGTGGGAGCCTCTGTGCTGAGGGATTTTTGGGTGCAGACGAGGGAAGTAACCCTTGTTGTGGCATGGTGTGCACAAAGGACATGGGGGGGTTTAATCTCTTTCAGTAGTGTTGACTGGGAGGTACCACTGGCAGGTGTGGTAGACCAGAGCAGAATCCCCGAGATACCCACCCCACCTGGAAAACAGGGATGCTCAGGGATCGTGGAATCCCCGAGATACCCACCCCGCCTGGAAAACAGGGATGCTCAGGGATCGTGGAATCCCCGAGATACCCACCCCGCCTGGAAAACAGGGATGCTCAGGGATCGTGGAATCCCCGAGATACCCACCCCGCCTGGAAAACAGGGATGCTCAGGGATCGTGGAATCCCCGAGATACCCACCCTGCCTGGAAAACAGGGATGCTCAGGGATCGTGGAATCCCACAATGGTTTGGGTTGGGAGGGACCTTAAAGCCCATCCACTTCCACCTCCTGCCATGGTCAGGGACACCTCCCACTAGAGGTTGCTCCAAGCTCTGTCCAGCCTGGCCTTGGGCACTTCCAGGGATGGAAAATACTGGATGTCTCGTGGTATAGTGCCAAAAATCCCCTGAATGCTCCAAAGTGAATGTCAGTCTACATTGCTGGTTTTGGGGGACAGGGGTACACAAGGTCGGTGACTCCGTGGGTGTTTTCCCTCTCTTCTCCCTCCTTCCCTCCAATACACAACTTAGAAATAATTAGGAATGGTGGATTTTCCCCCCCTCTCCCCGGGGCAGGATGAAGTTGCTGCTTAGTAATCTGCTGGAGGCTTGGGCAGAGTGGGAGTGGAATTGATTGTGTGGGTTTTTTTCCTTCCTGCTCCAAGACCACTTCTTGGCACAGAGGGATTTTTCTTTCGGCTTCTTTGGGGAACAGATGCATGAAGCACAGTTACCACTCATACATATGGCTTTTAAAATATGGAAGCTGTTGGACTGAAGTGCCTTCATATGGTGCTGTTGGAGGATGAGAATTAACACGGAAGTTTGGGTTTTTAAGACTTGAATGTTGAAAAGTTGGGTTTGGATTGTTGGTTTTTTTGTTTTTTTTGTGTTTAGTTTTGTTTGTTTTTTTTAAATAATGTTAAATGCCAGCCTGCATTTTTAACTCTGAAAATTACTCTCTCTGCAACCTTTAATGACTAAAATAGTATTGTAGTTTAATCTAGGGGATAAATAAGTTATACAGGGTGTAATTGAAATGGTTGTTAATCTTAATTTGCTAACATAGACATCTCTGTCTTTAATTGCAGGTTCCCATTTTAAAAACCATTAGAAGATATTCTGCCACCCTCTTGGATTACTTCCCATACAACTCAGCATGTCACTGTGCCCTGGATTTTATAAGGTGGCCATGATTTAATCCCCACTTCCAACTCCTATGTATTGGTGAAGCTTTGGAGCTCTTTTGAGCTGCTGCGGCTCCGTGGAATCTGATCTCGCATCCCTTCTCCCAAGGACTAGACACTACCAGCAATGAGCTCCCAAAGCCACCCAGGTAAGGGCAACACCGCCTGAAATTCCAGCAGTGACGCCAAAACACCCGGTGTTGGCCGCACAAACACGAGCTGGAGTGATAATCCAGACCCTGTCCCTGGTTTAAAACTAAAACTTTGTGTGAAGGTGGAAAATGCTGTTGCTGTTACCAGAGTTACAAGGAAATCTTATCATTTCGGGTTTCTAATTGCTCTAAAATTTAGGTTTCTAATTGTGGCATCCCTGGAAGCTGTTGGAGTTTTCTGAGTCATTAACCAGATGTTTAATTTGTTAAATCTGTGCTGATGAGCCTTCAGGATATGGAGTGTACCTGTAAGGAATGGGCACAGTCCTGCTGGTGTCTTTATGGAAATGTAAGAAAACTCTTTGGCTTTTAAAGTACTTTTTAATAGGAAAGAATAGTTTTGCTGGAACAGGAGCCAGTTGATCCACCTCGGTGTTGTCTGGGGGATTATTCCTAATGTGTCTTGTAATTTCAGACCCGATTCATCACTACAAAATTGTGCATTTCTGTCTGTCAGGAGGATCTGTAACTACTCAGTTACCTGCTCTTGAGCTTAAAGGTGCCTCATACATTTGTATTTAGTGAGTTTTGGGTAACTTTGTGTTAGACAGAGCTTTGTGAGCTTTGGAAGAGGAACTTTAATTATGCTTGGACTGTGTCAGTTTATGGTACAAAAAATGGCTGCTGGGAATCAAGTAATCCAACAACAACAGGGCACGTGGAAGGACTTATTTAACTCTGCCTCTGAGAGATTACTTTGTGACTTCATTTTAATCAGGTTTGGGTTAAGAGTTAAATAAGACTGAAGTGTTAGAAGCCAGCAAACAGCTCCTAAGACTTAAGGAACTGCTTATTTGTGGGCGAAGAAATCCTGCAATAAATAAGGATGCTGGAGCTCCCAAGTAGCAGTGTTAAATCTCACCCTCTCCTAGCAACTGGAACGAGTTTCTGAGTCTCTGAAATGATCAGTGTTATTAAAAAAGAAAAAAAAAATCTGGCCTCTACTTCCATAATGTAGATTTTGAAAGTGTGAGGAGTTGGGAAACTTAAGTATACCTGGGACACCTCTTGCAAAGGGATGTTTTCCAAGAGATCTGTTCTTCAGGTAATGGATAATTGTTAGTTCAGTATCTTCCTGCCTCACTGGGTGAGACTGGGGAGCTGTGGCCTCCTGCTCTTCTCTGGTTGTGGTGGGATACCTTAAATACATCCCTGTATTCAAAACCCAGCCATGGATGTGCTTTGCTTCTTAAGGAGCAGCCCTCCAGATATCTGGGAAGTGGTGATGACTTTCCTGGCTGGGCTGTGTTGGTGGAACCCTGCTGCTGGTTTGTCTTGATTTCCTTTATAATTCATCATCTGACCCTTTCTTGTCCTGACTCTGCTGGTTCTGCTGCTTTGGCTCAGTGTTCCTGTGTCACTGAAAGTCACTTTGAGTTCCCCTTTTCTAACAGCCGTGTCTAGAATGGTCCCATCAAAACCCAGGGATGTGGCAGCTCAGCAGGATGGCTTTGGACACCCTGTGTCCTCCTGGGTGCTGGATTCTTATTTTGGGTTGAAGTTCTCCAGCTCATCATGGTGGTTTTTCCACCCCCCACTGTTCTTAGGGCTCGTTTCTCTTCTAAGGGTCAGTTTTATGACAAGGAGCAGAAATACTTCCCAGCCCTCACCAGAGATGACATCTGGGCTTCTCATGTCAGTTGTGATAGGGGTGTTGATTACACAGCTCCAGGTAATTATTCCTAATGATGTGCATTGTTTAAGGGAAGGCTCTGGCTTAACTCGAGAGCCTATTAAACCTTGCTTCAGTGGGTACAAGCTTTCTTCTCTAATCTGCTCCAAACCCAGCACTAATGGGATGTTTTAGGAACAGTGCCATAAAGAATAAAAGTGGTTTGGGTTTTTTTCCTGTGCTTTTTCTTTATTTTACTTTCACTCCTGTGAGAAGTGTTGGGCACTGAGGGCTTCTCAAGGAACAAGGTGAGGAGATAACTAAGATGGGGGAGAAAATTGTGACTTCTTTCCCCATCACTGCCTCTCCTTTTGTTGTGTTTTGGAGTGAGGTTTCTCAGAGGACAGGGAGCAGCTTTTGGAGAAACAGAATACCCAGATGGAAGAAGATAATCCTCAAGAACTTGCCATGGGTCAGTCAGTCTGAGCCCTGCACACAGGGAGAAGACCTTGAGCTCTGTTTCCTGGGCTGAAGGCTCTCTCCGTGGTGTCCTTCTTGAATTTTGGGTTGAGACCAGCAGCTCTTGTGAGCTTAACCTCCCACAGAAACACATGTGGAGCAGGAGGAGCTGGTGGGGTGCTGGTGTCCCTCTTGCCACAGGCACGTGGTGCCTGCTGCTGCTATGGAGGAACAGCCAGCTCCTGTCACGTGTGGGGAGCATCTGGGGGTTCCTGGGCAGGAATGGGAGTTGCTTTGGGTGGGAGAGGGGCTGAAAGTGGAGAGTGAGCTGGCAGGAGGATGGGCTTTTCCCCGTGCTGTGCAGACCCAGCCAAGACCAAGCTCGGAGGCATCACGTGCCCTTTGGCTTTTGGCAGAGGAGCCACCGCCGCTTCCAGCGCTGGAACAAAGCTGGAAAAAAACCGCGGAAATTCTGCTACGAAAGCTCAAGTTGCTGCAAAGTGTAATTAAGAAAATTAGGCTAATTAAGATAACATTTAGGATTATGACAAAGCTTGGAGGGGCAGGGGAAAGTGTGTTTAGTTTCACTCCTTAACCTGTTGGCCACAATTTAAACTCGCCTTACGTAACCCGTGGTGCTGATGGTGCTCACCTTACCCGGGCTCCCTGGGCTGTGAGCATGTGGGGTTTTTTTTGTGTTTTGGGTTTTTTTCCTCTCTCATTGACCTTAAATGATTCCTTGCAGTCTCCTTCTCCCTCCCTCTTAATTTTCAGTGGCTTGAGTTTCGCTCTCATTCGCTTCTTTAATCAGTAAAGATTGTTCTGCTGATACTGGTTATACGTAAAGATTAGTTTTAAAAAACCAAAACACTTAAAGTTAATCACTCAACTGATTTGTATTTGTTTAAAGTTCACTTTCCTTTGTAAAAGCTGCAGATCTCCCTGTTCAATGGAGCATTTTGTGTATGAAATGTTATCTTGCAGGAATTAGCCAGTCTGAATGCAAATGCTCCATCCTTTTTTTCCGGAGCCACTCTTGCAGAGATGCAAATTTCAGCTACATTTTGCAGTGCTGAATGTTTGATAATTAGGAATATTGAAGTTTGAAGAACGTGCTTGCCTGGCTGATGGGGCAGAAATCTGCAGTGGGATCATTAGGACTGAGAGGAGACACCGGGAAAGCTTCGTGATCACACGGCGCTGGGAAAGCGAGTCGGGGAGTCACGTGCTGTGATTTGCTGGGCTGATAAGGACTTTTGTGCAGGGCTTTATCTGCACAAAGCCACTCTCCTTTCATATTCCACGGCTCAACGAGGCATGGAAAGCCATTTCATGCAGCACACAGAAGAGCTTTCCCGTGAGCGTCTCCAGCGTTTTGCACCGTGCAATAAATATTTGATGGGTTCTCTTTTGAAAGATTAAGAAGTTTCTGTGGAGATGCATTTCAAAGCGGCTTTAAATGACACTGACCTACTTTCTGGCAGTAATGGGTCTGTCTGTGTAAGTTATCTGGGGGCAAGAGTGTTCTTTAAATAAACAGAAGGACTAGGGCGGTAAATTCCAGCCCTCCTTTAGCAGGTACTCACTCGGTGGCTGCGGTCTGGAAGAACACCTGGACGTGGTGTATCCTGGATTCATACAAGGGTTTGGGTTGGAAGGGAACTTAAAGCTCATCTCATTCCACCCCCTGCCACGGGCAGGGACACCTCCCACTAGCCCAGGTGGCTCCAAGCCCCATCCAGCCTGGCCTTGGACACTTCCAGGGATTCCTGCTTCTCCCCACCCATCTGGTGCTCCAGGTCATTGCTGCTGGGTAATTGTAGGCTTGGGCATTCAGGCTCCTGTTTACAAGTAAATCAATGCTATAGTGACTACAGGTCCAACCTCCATCTCTCTGATGCTTTCTTTAATTGGAAATACAAAGATTTCTCCAGACCTGTCCTCTTCCCACATTACCATGTCTGTGCTTCATGGGAAGTTGAAGTTTTAGGGAAAAGTGCAACTGCTTGGCAGGCCCAGCAGAGGTAACAGGATGGTTGAGGATTCCCCATCCCTGGGGGGGTGTCCAGGGCCAGGTTGGATGGGGCTTGGAGTAACCTGGGCTGGTGGAAGGTGTCCCTGCCCGTGGCAGGGGGTGGAATGGGATGAGCTTTAAAGTCGTTTCCAACCCAAACCATTCTGGGATTCTATGAAGTAAATTCTTTGCAGTTGTTGATTAAAACTTTGAGGTTGGCTGTGGAGTAAACTCAGCAACAAGCTCTGGCAGAAGAGCTGAAGAGCTTTGCAGGTGGGAATTGGCCACGTCTCCATCCACTTCTGTTTCTTCAACCCACGACAGGACACCTACTCCACCTGCATTCCAGTTCTTATAAATGTGGGAGCTGAGCCTGTCCTGGATTTCCTCTAGGAACAGTGTCATTTTAAGGACCTTGGAAGTTTTAAGTCTGCTCCCATGAAACCTGTGAAGTTTTCGCTTTCTGGAGCATCAAATGGTTGGGACTTTCTGTACAAGGGTTTTATTGTACCCTCAAAAGAGAAGAATTGTTTTGTGTTTCAACTTGGGGTTCAAGTTGAAGTTCCTGCTAGGTCAGTGTCCCTGCCAAGTACATTCCTCTCATTTCTGCTTTTTCTTTAAATGCAGTTCTTGCACTTAGGAATTCTTTAAAAGCCTGTTTCTAAAGGAAGTTTTTCAGCCTGTGATGTGTCCTGCAGTGCAAAGATGAGAAGCAGGTACTTGTGATGAGAGGCAGAGAACTCTGGATTATTTTGAATGAGGTACAGGGTAGGAAAAGGATATAAAAAAGGTCATATTTTTAAAGTCAGGTGATTCTATAATAATGTTTGAGATAGTCCTTGGAATCTTGTG